CACACACACACACACACACACACACACACACACAGATAAAAAAACACACATACATTGTGAGGGCTACAGAAAAAGTGAAAAGCGGATGACAACCACATTCAAACAAGCATCGAGCAATTGATTAGAGCATGCATGCAGAGATTCATGTTACCTGTTGCTACAGTGGAACACATACCACACCAGGCAAGTCTTTGATAGACAGACAGCCAGAGGGCATGCCCATGGTTTTCCAAGCAGTTGACCTCCAGTCATGATAGACAGACAGCCAGAGGGCCTAAGGATCTCCCCATCCAAACAGCCCACGCAGATTTTATGAACAGTTACGATCGATACGCACACACGACTTTCACAAATCGACATTGAAGGGCAGGAACAAGCATAACGAACAGGCAGGTGAAGCACGGGGCACGGGGCCTCACCTCAGTGATGTACGCTCTCCAATTTCTCCAAGATACGCTAAGCTCTCTTCATCCACCACTAACCCCTCCACCTGTGCCCGGATGGCCAAAATCTGTTCCGGACATATAACAATGAAAATCCATTCAAATTTCAAACCAGAAAAAAAACATAACGACAAAGGCGAGCGTGGCAAGAGACAATGCCAATCAATGAATAAGGTTTCTGGTTTCCGGGACTTTTTGCAATTTTCCCACTGCAAGCCACTGCCATTCTCCACACATCGCACTATGATAGCACTAAAATTCGTGCACAAAGAACATTGTTTAACGTTAGGTCACAAGTGTGTGGCAAAGGAAATTGAATAACACTGCCTCCACTTAGCAACCATGGCTAACAATACAGCAAAACGTGAGAGGAATAGACAGACAGATGGAGGCAAGTGTGCGCACAGCACGGCTAATCACTGTTTGGCTCACCTGAACCATCTCCGCTGGGGTGTAAGGGAGTGTGCGAATGATGACAAGGCGATCCAACAAGTCGACTGGAATTCCATGAGGGCTTGGGATATCAGTACCCCTGTTTCAATCAAGCGAACGACGACACAAGATTGTCACTCCATTGAAACTAAAACATCCCTTCGACCAACACGCACACACGCACACGCGCACACACACACACACACACACAC